GGGTGAGATCATGAGTACTGTTGCAGAAAGAGCCACCAGAACATGGATCCTCCTGGCCCATGTTCTGGAGTGTAGATCTTGAAGGAAAGGTGGTGTTCAAGAAGTCAGTCCTTCCAGGCTTTGAGTAAATTGATCTCAGCTGACCCAACGGATGACCCAGACCATGATGTCATGCTCAGGATATAAAAAGTTAGGGGAAGAAGGATGAAGGGGGGATGCTTAGAGTGATGGTGTTTGTCTTCCCAACAAGAAGTGATGGAGCCCAGCTTTCCTGGAGATGTCTGAATGGAAGTGGGGAAGGAATTCCTTGGTGTGCTTTGCTTGTGTGTGGGGCTTTGGCTTTACCTTTACCTATTAAACTGCCTTTATCTCAACCCACAAGCTTTCTCATTTTTTATACTCCAATTCTCTCCTCCATCCCTCAGGGGAGACTGAGTGAGGGGCTGTGTGGGGCTTAGTTCCCTGCTGAGGTGAAACCAAAACACTGCAGAAAGTCAAAAACTTGATGGAACAAGAACAGCAGCTTATTCAGAGGGATGAATTCACACCTGACAGACAACCACACAGTCTGGAAGTCCAAACTGCCATGAGGCTGAGGAACACACGTGTCCCCAGACCATCCCAGAACACAGGAACTGCCACAACTGAGGAGAATTAGGAAATCCACCTTTTGACCCACCTAGTCATTTATCATTGATCCTTTTGGCTGTGATACCTCAAGGAGCAGTTGTCTGAAATGATGTAGTTGAGTGCAGAAGAGGACTCCTACCAGCCAGAGACACCCCAGGACTGGTGGGCAATGCAGAGAATAAACCAGGCTGTGAGATAGTTCTTCTGGGGATCTGCCATCCATTTTATGGCAAATCTGGTGCTGCTGAAGTTTGTCACCAACTTGAGCCCCCTGAACAGTTTCAGAAGCAGAGATGAGATTTAGGCAGCAGGCTTAGCATTGCTGGTGCCAAGTATGGAGATAACCAAGTTAGTTCCACTCATCCTAAAGAATGCCATGGTGGTGCTGGTGGGGCTGATGTACCTAGGGGCCAGACTGCTGTGACAGGCAGGGAACTGCTACAACAGATAAAGAAGAAAACAAATGCTTACAGAGCTTCATATTGGCCTTCAGTGGCTGAACTGGTTCTGGGGATGATCAAATCAGAAGCCTCTGTGGTAATCACAAGGATCTGAGAGGACTTGATTTTACCAGTCTGGAAGGGAGAAGACAGAGAGACTTTCTTGGGATGGTTTCCTTAGGAGGATGGCCAGAGGCAGATCAAAGATAAAGCAGGTGGATTTAGCTGACTGCTTTCCAGCCCACGATACCCACTGGGTGCCACATCAGAGAAAGCTTTCACTGCTGTCTCAAGGAGAAATCTGCAGTAGTTCAAGCTCACCATCCCTTCCAGGTTTTAAAGAACACCAGGTGAAGCACTCCCTGGGAGGCAGACCTTCTCTGTCACACTAACTCAACACTTCAGATGTGTTCAGAGGAAATTCAAGCCCAAAGGGGGCACCTCCAGGGTGTAAAACAGCCTTGGGAGATACGCTGGTGTTTAGGGACCAGGTTTAGTGGTGACCTGGCAGTGGTGGGTTAATGGCTGGACTTGATCTTGAAGATCTCTTCCAACCCAAATAATTCTATGGTATCAACACAAGCTTCTCCTGCTGAAAATTCATAGCAGCAATGGGCAGTTGAGTGATAATGAAATGACACAAGAACTATCCACATGCTGAGCAGGAAGGTGAGCGTGGTCCCTAACAAACATCTTCCTGGTCTCAGCAGAGGCCAGCTGAACATCCATAAGCTGAATCTATTTGTGGACTATCACTCCAAAAAAATTAAAAAGTAGGCCCCCTAGTTGCAACTTTATACTAAATAACCAAAGTCTGCCCAATTGGAAACTCTTGGCTGCTCATTTACTGTCTCCTCTATGCTTAATAGAGTCCTATTCCAATTTGCTCTTAATTGGATTACTACAGCTAATGGCAAAATGAGGTGTTAAATGCATATCATTGTAGTCAATTAAATGTTACTTAAATCCCACACATGTATAAGGTTATGACTGATCAGTGCACAATGCCAGTCAGCAGAAACCCAGCCTGATTAAACTCAGGAAAAACTCCTTCCTGCAAAGACACTGTGCCACTTGCAGCCCCACGAGTGACAGAACAATAGTTAACTTGTGAGAAAACCCACAAAATTACCCTCCCTATTCATTTCAGACAGGAAACAGACAAATCTACAGTGATCCAGATGAACTGAAAGACAAAATACATGAACAAAAATATGTAACCATACTTCACCTGACTCTATACACATTGGACTGTGATATAAAATAACTTATGCAAATATGTGCACATTTTTGTTTCCTTGTTTAGCTCAAAACAGGTATTTTCTTTTTTTTTTTTCTCATGGCTTTCAGAGTCTAAAACCTCAAACAAAAAATCTTGTTTACTTCACATTACCAAGAAATCCATCTATTCAGACTTTTAAATAACTAAGAAAAACAATGGCAGAGGACATTCTTCATTTTAAAAGAATAATCTTCATTTCTCAGATATTTCTATATCCATTTCCTACGTAAAAATCTATTTTTCAGTTGCCAGCCATACAAATTTAGGTTAGAAGGAAAAAAATCAAGCAACAGTCTCTTTGATTCTGAGATGCTGAAAGCCAAGTGCTATGTGCCACCACCACATAAATCCTTGCAAGCCATTCCTTTTCAGAAGAAGTTGGTTAAAATCACACTAGAGAATTTCTCTTCCTTTGTGCAAAGATCTTACTGGGCCATACATGAGACCCAATACCTGAAACAGAGGTTTGCTCATCTTTAGGTTGAACGTGTCCTTCAGAAAAGATAATCCAGAGCAATATTACTTTTGCAAGACCAACAGCAACAAGAGCAGACAGTCTTAAGCTGCATGCCAAGTTTTTAATGTTTCAATGACAACACCACTCATCTATGACCCACTCAACAAAAATACATCCAAATTATTTAGCAGCATGTCCCATTTCTTGAAAAGCCTCTGTAATTTTTTGAAGGAGTGCTGTTTCCATCTAGCCACTTATGAAACCAGTCATGGGTTTGGAGAACGTGAAGCTGAGTGAGATATGGACAAGATCTATAAAATCACCAAGGCAGTGGATAAGGTGACTGGAGAACTGCTGTTTAACAACTCATACAATGCTTGAAGCAGGGACACCCACTGAAAATTGAAGAAAAATTGGACATGGAGGAAAAAAGATAAAGTAATGTACTTTTTAATGAGATTGGTAGTGAACTTCTGCAGTTTGCTGCCAGGGCACGCTGGATGGAGACACCATTCCACCAAAAGGATTCATGGACAACAGCTCCATGAATGCCTAGATACTAAAGGGACAAGTCAGACACCTCTAATCCAACATCTGTGGACAGCATGAGGGGAATGGCCTGAGGAAAGAGGCCAGGTTTATGTGTCTGTGCTTAAACAGCATGTCCTGTTGCTGAAGGCTGAATGTTGGACCAGATGGAACCTGCTGAGATCCACTTGGATGTTTCCTCTGTTCTCTAATCTTTAAAAAGTTTTTTAAGTTTGTTGTTTCACAAGATAACAAACTTTCATCCCAGGACAGAGCACCAACAGTTTACAACACTGCTCCCAGAGGTGCCACAGGCCAGAAGGACAGCACACTACCATGAAAGGTGAATGCCTGCCCAGAACAAGGCAAAGCACTGACACAGGGTACAGGCAGAGGAAAATACCTCATGCCAAATCCAGCAGCCCAAGAGAAGTGGGGCTGATGCTGCTTCATGCCCTCAGGTCCAACCAGGACACACATACACACCACGTTACCAAGATCCCAGATGGACACTGAGCACTCACAGCAACTCTAGTTACCCCATCCTGCCCCCTGAGCTGGCTGAGCAGGACAGAGGTCCATTAATGGGAATACATCTATGTGCCCAAGGTGGATTGCCACCAGAAGCTGGGCTCAGAAACTCAGTCTGCCCAGAGCTGATGGAGGAATCTGATGACGGGACAGGACAGACTGTGCTGGTCAGGAGCAGGACATGGCCAGACAAGCATCCTGGCCAGCTCCTGCTAGCATGCAAACACCCTTTTATTCAGTTATCCCTCTGCTTCCCACATTTTTCCACCTTTGCTTCATCTCATAGACATTCCAAACTAAGTCCTTTCAACCCCCAAAGCTTCTCCCCTACATCCTCCAACGTGTCCCACACCCTCAGCTAGCAAAGCCCAAAAAGTGACCTGGAGAGCTGCTCCTGATGCTCACCATGATGGGTTTCATGCCTGAACAGAGGGCAGAGAGTCTGCAGGGACAGCCCTGGAAGGGTACCAGACAGGGTCTCCTTTCCTCTGAGTCCTTAATTTGGGTTCCTACCTGAGCCTATGCTCATGGAGATGGACCTTTCACAGCTCTCCTGGGATGGGCCAGGTAGTAGCACAGCAAAGTATTGTTTGGGCTCCCCTCCCATTGTCTCTCTGAGCATCTCTGTGGGCGTGCAGATGAGCTTTAGCACACAACCAACCAGGTACCACTGCAGTCAGCCAGCCTTGAAATGCAACGACTTTCCACCAGCTTTCTAAGCTCAAACACGCAGATTTAATCTGTCACAGGTCATCTGTTTCTGAAAATAACCTGTGATGATCAATCCCTCCTCCACATCCCTTAGAAATCATCACCTGCTGCTTGCCATAAGCCAGCGAGGGTCGTTAATGAGGAGGGAAATCACATCAGGAGAGACTCCTGCACAGCCCCAAGGCTCCAGCTTCAGCACTCTCACCCAAGCCGAGGCAGCTCCTTGGGGTGTTTAAAGTCTTTGTGCCTCAGTAAAATTGGGGTGTTACAGACACAGCCCCTGCTCTGCAGACAGACACCTCTGGGGCCTCGTCCAGCGCCCAGCCCAACAGAGTCTTTGATGCAGGAGGGCTTTGAATCAACCTCCAGAATCCCAATGTGGGGTTTGTTTTTATTCTATTTATTTTTTCAGGTTTATTACCTCTCTGTTGGTCTTCTGTTCCATTAAGTTGCTTTTGTGCTTCTTCAATTTTGTCTGCAAGAAAGAGAAGTCGTTATTAAAACACGTATCTAAAAAATGCAAGATTTTAGAAAGTCATTTACTGAAACCTGCCTTGAGCTCCCTGTTTATGTCTAGGAGTGATACCATTCACACATAAACACGCTGTACATTATGAGTAATGCAGCCACATAAAATTTTATCATATTTTATTAGAGAGGCTATTGACACATTAAATTACATGGAACTGCAGGAACAAAAGCACTGGCATTGGCTCTGCAGCCATCAGCTAATCCCACTGTAGCTTTTTACTGTCTATAATAATTTTTTGCAGCCAGGGGACTCTTCAGAGTAGGTATTATGGTGCATTAAGGAGTATTTTAATAGGTTTTTGAAACAAGCTGTTATAACAAGACAATGTGGCACCAAACACAGCGACATAAAGCAAACAGGACTCGCTGAGTGAAGCGACGGAGCCGACCCTGTCACACAGGGGCCAGTGGTCACCCCCTCCTTATTCCCCTGGGAAACCACCCAAAATTCCCACACGTGCAACAGGAGCACACAGGTCTCGAGTCTTTACTCTCATCCTGTTCTCTGCAGGTCACCTGCAGCCCCCAAAGGCGTCGGTGTTGGGAAGGGAGCTGCGTTTGTCACGCAGGAGATCCTCCAGGAAGGAGGAGACCTTGTTCTGCACACGTGTGTGTTTGCACAAGCAGAGCAAGAAGCAAGAAAAGGGGTAGCTGGAATGAATAAAAACTTGAGATCGAGTTCTTTCTGGTAGCAAACTGTCCTCTGGGTGGCTGCAGGATAAGAGGTTGTGTTATTGAGAAGCGGTGGCACTGTGGCACTGGAGAGGTTGAGCTCCACACCAAGCTGTGGTCTGACCAGCCAAGAGCTGAGCTTGGAACATGACTTTCAGATACAACTGATCACTTCCCAAAACACCCATGAAGGCTTTTCTTTGTTTCTTTTGTTTGTTTATATTTTTTTGGTTGTTTGTTTCTTTTTCTTTGTTTTGTTTTTCTTGGCTGGGTTTTGTTTGTTTCTTTCTTTCTTTTTTTTTGTTTTCTTGAAGGAAGCAGGTTTTAGAACATTACATCAAAAGAATAGGACATATCTGGACTCATTCTAAAACTCTTTAACTTTAGTAGTGCTACAGCTCAAGAAATACCACCAGACTTCATGGCTGGAGGGGGAGGACAGGTCTGCAAAGTCCTCACCTCTTTCTTCAGGAGGTTGTCACCCGCTCTGACTCTTATTCCTGTACAATGCAAGGTTTCTAGAAAATGGTCCTTTCTTCAGAAGAATTTTAAATGGGTGGCTTTCAGTAACTTAGAATCATAGAATCCTTT